ACCTACCATGTGTTTCTAGTTTGCTTTCTTTGGCTATGATAAAATATTGGCCAGAATCAGCTTAGGGAGGAAAGGGTTTATTTAGTTTATATTTTCAGATTACAGCCCAACATTGAGAGAAGTCAGAGCAAGAAGTGAAGCAGAGACCAGGGAGGCCCACCCGCCTAGGGCTGGGCCCTCCCACATTGACTAGTAACTAAAAAAAATAGCTCACAGGCATCGCCACTGGCCAGTTTGGTCTAAGCAGTTCTTCAATCAAGGTTCCCTCTTCCCAAGTGACTCCAGCTTGTGTCAAGTTGACAAAAACTAAGCTGCTCGCCCCTGGAAACCTGGTGACCTGAATTTGATCTCTAGAACTCATGTAAAGGTAGAAGACAACAGCAAAATTGTCCCCTGACCTCTACATGTGCACTGTGGCACATATGTACATGCATGCACACTCAAACCACACACACATACACACACAAAAATATTTCTTTAAAAGAAATGAGAACTCAGAAAAAGTGGCTCTGTCCTCCTAACCCTTATTTTAGCCCCTCTCCCCAGCTTGGGGGTGGGGAGGGAACATCACCTCTATTTCAGGTGCACCTCTGCATCATCCTCACTGAACCCTCATGATGAGCATTAGAGGCAGGTGCTGTAGTCTGCATTTTGCAGAGAAATTCAGGGACTTGCTCAAGGTGACCCGGTACCCAGGCTGACTGCGTCTGCAGTCTGTGCCCCTCACTGAGGGAACAGGGCTGAACACCCTTCACAGACACTAAATTTATATTTCCTGGCCTCCCCTTCCAAAATGGATACACTAATTGCGGACTTTTTTTTAATAGTGATCATCAAGAACGCATTTTTAAATGTTTGCATTTTCTATTCTGCGTGCCAAAATAAAACATTGATCAAACTCACAAGCCACTGAGGCCATGTAAATTAGGAAGGGTTCAGGAAGACATTACCAGAAACCAAAAGAAAAAAGTGTTGATTAGGGACTTATTTTTGTATGAGATTAAAATATGAGTCGTTAAAATAGATATTTCAGCTCTGCATCCCCCTGCTCCTTGGTGCCATCACCATGGCTCCTGGTTTGGAGCCCATGTGTACCAACACCCTTCCAAATTCCAAAATCCTTCCCTGGGTGCGAGCTCTGCCCTCCCCACATTTCCAGAAGTGTGGTCGGAACACCCCCTCTGCCTTCTTGCCTGTCTCCTCTTAACGAAATCCCCTAGAGACTGGTGTCTTCAACTCTTTGAAGTCTTTATTTAGTCCTGATTGTAAGTAGTGACTGAAAGCTGTACTAGTTGCAACCAGAATTCAAAGGTGGAGGAAGGAATGAAGTATGAGCAAACCTCAGTTCCCTCGGATTTGCTTGGGAGAGGGGTAGCCACCCACAGAACTTGGTTTGGTGCAGGGGGTAGTAGACGGGTGGCTTGCAGGGAGGCCGAATTTCACATGGAGTGTTTCTGTAGTTCAGGCTCTGTTTGGAGGGCAAAAATAGCACTATCTGCAACCCAAAATATGCAGTTAAATTAAGTTGTTAAAGTGTCTAAAAATGGCTAAGATTAGAGACAAAAGCTCATTGTTTGCTACAATTATTGAGTGCAGATCTCTGTATGTAGAAGGGTCTGGGGAGGACAGTCAGAGGCCTGTGGTGTTTAGAAAAATTAATCTCCCATCTGTAGAGTTCTGAAGCACCCACCTGCATTTCGAACTTGGATATAAGCCAGAGGAGTGGGACCTGTCCACGACAGGTTTTTTTGCTAATTACCTGCTAGTGGACACTTGAAATACCAAGTATATCAGAGCAGAGGGACCACAGTTGAAACCAGCACCCACTATCCTCTGCTGGGTGCTGACATCACAAGATGGTTTTCTGGAGTTTGGAGGACCTTGGAGCGATGCCTAAATGTATTTTTAAATGAAGGGAGGACCCCAGACCAAGCCAGTTCTTTATTGGGCATGGTCAGTAGTTAGCACCTCCAACCAGACTACTGATTTTGTTTTTTTTTTCTTTTTTCCCTGCCTGGGCTTTGGGTGAATTATAAAAACATACTCTCCCCATAGGAAAATGTTTTTGGTTTTTGAGATGGTCTTGCTTGCAATGTAGCCCAGGCTGGCTTCAAATTTTCCATCCCTCTACCCTCAGCCTCTCACCACTGTACCCACCTGATAGGGAAAATTTCTGTGAAGAATCTGTGAATTGTCCTGAAATTAAAGATGTAGGTACTTAAGGATGACGTATTCTTTGAATAAATCTGAAGTGTGAGCAGAGAAAGATGATAAAGGATATTTTGACAAAAATAGAAAGTGGTTGAAAGAGTTTACATTTCCTTAAAGTCTGGGAGGTTCTCTGATGGGACCGCTAGCATTAGGTGGTTACTACAGCAGTTCATCTTCAGAGCCTGATGTATGAAAGGACCCTTTTGCTTGTAATTAACTAGCCCATAAATCTCCCTTAGGAGGAACTATATTGTCATCTTATCTGTTCTGTAGATGCTTTTATTTAGACTGGATATGTTCGATATCACACGGCTTATATTGTTTGAAAAAGAAGGGCCAGCAGAATGGCTCGGCAGGTAAAAGTGCTTGTCACATACGCCTGATGACCTGAGTTCAATCACAGGAACCAATATAAAGATGGACAGTTCCACAAAGTTGTCTCTGCCTCCACACATGCTGTGGTATGAGGGTACCCTCACACACACATCACACATATATACAATAGTAAAGCTTAAAAAAGGTTTAAAACAAAATCCTACTGTAGGGCTGGGGATGTAGCTCAGTTAATAGAGTGCTTACCTAGCATGCGCAGAGCCTTGAGTTTGATCCACTGCCGCATAATCTGAATGTGTTGAGGCATGTTTGTAGTCCCAGTACTTGAGAAGGGAGGGTCAGAAGTTCAGGACTGGAGAGATGACTCAACAGCTAAGAGCACTTACTGCTTTTGCAGAGGACCCAAGTTTGGTTATCCAGTACCTGGGTCAAGTGTCTCACAATCCTCTATAACTCCAGTTCCAAGGACTCTGATGTCTTCTTCTGGCCTCCACAGACATCAGGCATGCATGTGGTGCACATATATACATGCAAACAAAGCATTCATATACATAAAAATAAAAATAAGCCGGGCATGATGGTGCACGCCTGTAGTCCCAGCACTTGGGAGGCAGAGGCAGGTGGATCTCTGGGAGTTCAAGGCAGCCTGGTCTACATAGTGAGTTCCAGGACATCTGGGGCCACAGGGAGACCCTGCTTCAAAAAGACCAAAAAGAAAAAATCTTTAAAGAAAAAGGATCAAAGTTCAAGGTCTGCCTCATCCTCAGTTGCCATAGCAAGTTCAAGGCCAGCCTGGGCTACATGAGACCCTGTCTAAAAAACAAATATAGCTAATGTAGAAAAAACAAGATATGAAACTGTTAAGACCCTGACAGTCACATCTCTAAAGAACATTACCAGTGTCTCTGTGTCTTTACGAATAGGATTATGTGTGATGTTTATTTCTTTTCTGACTTTGTACATTTTTAAAAACATTTTTCCTTACCTGATTTTTTTTTTTAACTTTTTGTGGCTTTGTTTTTGTTTTGAGACAAGGTCTCAGGTAGCTCTAGGTGACTTCGCAATGAGCTTGAACTCCTGGTCCTCCTGCCTCTACCTCCCAAGTGTTGGGATCACAAGTGTACATCCCTATCTATGCCCAGCTCCTACTTTTAGCACTTTGGAAACAACTTTGTTGATGTCTGATGAATCTATAAAAGCTGTACATATTTAAAGTATATGATTTGATCAGTTTGGCGATAACTGTAAATCCATAAGATCATCAGCGTAACAAAGCTCATGTCCAGCTAACAAAGGTTTTCTCTTGTCTTTTTCAATATTATTATTCTTAGTTTAGTTATAAGACCATATCTGCCTACTTAGCAAATTTTTTAATATTTTATTTATTATTTTTATGTGTATGAGTGCATTACGTGTGTGTGTGTGTGTGTATGTGCACCTGTGTCATGCAGTACCTTGGAGAGATCAAAAGAGGACATCAAATTCCTCTGGAATGGAGTTATGACGGTTGTTAGCTGCCATGTGGATGCTAGGAATTGAACCCCAGTCCTCTGCAAGAGCAGCCAGTGTTCTTACTCACCCAGCCATCTCTCCAGCCCTATACTTAAGTATACCATACAGCATTATTTTGTACACATACTGTTTTGTGCAGTAGATTTCTACCTCTTAATTCATTTTGCATTACTATTTATCTTCTGACCAGCACCCCGCCAGTTTCCCCTCCTTCCAGCCCCTGTCTGTATTGCTGTCATTTAAAAGGTTTGGCAGACTGTATTGGCACTTATCTGTAAACCCAGCTGCTCAGGTGGCTGAGGAAAGAAGGCCACTCGAGCCCCCAAGTACAAGGCCAGCCTGGGTAACATCACAAGACTCCCATCTCATAAATAGGGGCTGAAGAGATGGCCCAGTGGTTAAGAGCACTTTTTTCTTGCAGGGAACCACAATCCAGTTCCCAGGACCCATGTCAGGAGGCCCATGACCTCCCACAACTCCTGCTCCAGAGGATCCAGTGCCTTCTTCTGGCCTCCATAGGCACCGGTACACACATGGCATATACACAAGAACCACACACATCACATACGTAAAAATAAGTCTTAAAGTAATAATAATAATTGTTCATCTGGTGAGGTGGAGCATGACTTTAATCCCAGAACTCTGGAGGCAGAGGCAGGCAGATCTCTGAGATTTGAGCCAGCCTGGTCTACCTAGTGAATTCTAGGCCAACTGGGGCTACAAGGAGACCTTGTCTCAAAAAGACAAAAATGTAATTAATTAATTAAAATAGTTGATTGTTTTTCTTTTTTTTAAATCACACTGCCCTTGAAGCTCTATGGGGGTGAACGGTATGCCTATTCTATTAACATCAGTTCCATACCACAGTGCCAGGCGCAGAGCTGCAGCCCACGGTAGCTGCTAGCTGAAGCATTCACATCTGTTTCCCTATCCTCTCTCTCCAGGCGATGTGCTCTATGAACTCCTTCAGCATATTCTGAAGCAGAGGAAACCTCGCATTCTCTACTCATCATTCTTCCACCCCGGAAACTCCATTCACACGCAGCCTGAGGTCCTGCTACATCAGAACCACGAAGAAGGTACTCTCGAGGCTTCTGGTCCTTTGCCCAGATTTCAGACAAACCAAGGGCTTGAGCTGTTCCCTGACCCTTCATTCTTCATTCAAGAGTCTACAGTATGTGAGACACTGGGGAAATTGCCTAGAGGAGTAAGGCTCTTTAGCTCTGTGCAGCTTAACAGTCTGCCAGTGAGAAAGATACATAAATGTAAACACTTGATGATGAGAGTAATAATAATAGAGATTTGGGGGGAAAGGCAACGATACCCTGGAACTGGAAGCAGGATCAGCTTCACAAAGGGAGGAGTCTCTCCAGAGCTCCTTGAAGGTCCAGTGTAGTTCTGATAAGCAGCAAGAACATTCCAGACAGAGCAAATGACCAAACAGTAGGGTAAGACCTTGGAATAGAGAGCATTAGGATGACTTGCATTGGAGAGCCCATACAGAATAAAATAAATACAGCTGTGTGGGCCATTGGTCCACTGTTTCAGCAGTGATTAACATTTTCCTCTATAGAGCTAATCCAAGGACAATGTGGAGACCTGAGATTCTTCAGCTGTGGAGAAAAGAAACAGGGAGTTTGCTGAAGATGTTTGAGCAAGGAACTGATAAAAGCTAGGGGAAGTAGCAAAAACAACCTGTAGGAAGTTGGTATCGGGTTGGGGCTCTCTTCCTGCCCAAAGGTTTGCTGGGGTGAGTACGCTGTCAAGCCTCCTTTGAGACATCATGGTTGCTGTCCCTTTTGGGATGCACAAGTCACAAAAGCATCTGTAGGGCTGGAGAAGCGGCCCAGCAGTAAAGAGTACCCACTGCACTTGTAGAGGACCTGGGTTCAGTTCCCAGTCTTTAGCTCCAGTTCCAGGGGATCAAGTGCCCTCTTCTGGTCTCCAGTGGCATTGCACACACATGGTGCACTTACATACATGCACGCAGAGCACACACAAAAATAAATAGATCAAAAACAAAAAATTTCTTAACCATCTGTAGACAGCTCAAGACCATGCAGTGTGGCCCTGGGCCTAGTTCAGGAGTAGATATTTGGGTACAGGGGAGTGAAAACATTATTTTGAGCACAGTGTCATTGAGTATCTAATAGCATTCGGTGCTGACTCACACCTTCATGGACCATTGTGTCCACATCCTCCTTCCAGTTGATCAATCAACAGGAGGAATGTGACCATTACAGTGGGACTTTTTCCTGTGTACTCTCCTTAAGTCTACTTTACTAGGGGTTCAAGGCTTCCCTCTCTTAAGAAGTTTTGTTAAATTGGTGAGTCATCCCCAAACACAGAACTGCGTATGACTTTTATTTTATGTCTAGCCAGTTAAAAAATAAGTTTTGGGCAGGGGGTGGTGATGCACACCTTTAATACCAGCACTCAGGAGGCAGCGGACCTCTGAGTTTGAGGCTAGCCTGGTCTACATAGAGTGTTCCAGGCCAGCTAGGGCTATGGGAGACCTTGTCTCAAAAAAGTTGTTTTGTGTTGTTTTCTCTTAATTAGCACCTCACAAGAGAGAGTCTGACCTTGGGTGACCCTCAGGGCCTCCCTGATCCACAGCTGGTCCTCTCCCTTCCTTGATAGAAACTAGTAAGCCAGCATTTCTGCCATGTTCCCTCTCTCATCCTCTCCTACCTTTACCCTTGATAAATTTAACATCTGTCCCCTTCCCCCCAAATCGGGTTTTGATATTCTTTTGCTCTTCTGGCCTTGTTCATTTCCGGCTTGCATAATAGCCACCAGCCACTCCAGAGGAGAGGAGATGGGTGCACCCAAGCTTGACAGTGAGGTAAGCATTCTGTTGCTAGCCTGGCTCTTCAGGCACAAAGGATATGGGATGGGCTCCCCCTCCTTCTCTCTTATTTAAAAAGGAAATCTGATTTGAAATTTCTATCACACCCCCCTCACACACACACACACACTTCTTCCCAAATGTGATTGGAGACCTGTGGTCCTCCCTCCTTCCTCCTTGACCTGATTTGACTCAGAAGTAGATTTTGTATGCTTTTCTCCTGTACAGGGGCTCTTTAGTAAAGAAAGCTGGCTGACCCTGAGAGCCACTCTCAAACCAAGTAAATGCAGGTATATCCCGTCTCACATCCCAGTGAGTGTGTGATATCAGTGCTGAGCCCAGTCACTGAAGAGAGCTAATGAGGCCAAGGTCAAGAGCTTTATCGCCCTGCAGACTAGGTCAACCTGTTTCAGAGCCAGCTCTTAGAAGTACTTAGTGCATTCACAGAGACCCTTTCTTGATACTGGTGGCCAGGAAGCAAGATCTGAGAGCCTGTTCTCTGACCCTTTGTCTGTTCAGACTACGCGCATGCTCTCGGGTGAACAGGCAGACACAGCTTTGGTCTCTGCTGGGTAGAATCAGTGAGAAGAGTCATCCCAGGCATGGGTGATAGGAAGCGGCCACCTCCTATCTCATAATCCAAATATAAGGGTGGCCCCTTCTTACCTCCAGCCTCTTTCCATTCTTCTCCAAAAAAAAAAAAGTCTAGCTCAGCATGCATTGTCTCAAGAATCAGCACTGCTATGTTCATGAAGGACAATAATCAATAAATGACTGATGTGGATATAGGAAGATCTGGTCCTAAGGAAAAAAAGTCTATAAGGGGAAATTTTTTTTAATTAAAAAAATCTTTATTGAGAATTTCATACATGCATATAAGGTGTTTTGATCAAATTCCTGCCCACTCCCTCCTCTCCAACTCTTCCCATACCTCCCCATCACTTTTCTGACAACGTCGTGTGCTCTTTCTCTTTCTTTTTTTCTTTCTTTCTTTTTAAGTGTAGGGCTTTTTGCTTCTCTAACATTGCCCCCTCTGAAGAGGTTACCCTAAAATCTTTTAGGGATTAGATAAGAGCTCCCAAATGCTTTTGACATTTTTGGCCTTTGCAACAGGGTATGTTGCTAAGAGGCCCAAGGACATTTTGACTTTTAACCAAGAAACTGGCTACTTTTCTTTGGGGTCTTTTTATCCTAACTGCCTAGCCAATTCCCACCTCCTATTCTTATCACACCATCCTGAAGAGGTTATCCAAATTGCTGATAGGGAATCAGGACACAGACCACTCTGGCTTCTTCCATGTTGAATAGGGACACAGGGTGAGGCAATTGGGGTACCCATAAGGGGAAATTATACATTCCAAATATCCTTTCATGGTTTATTTTTACACAATTATGGATATGTGTTGGCCTAAGAATGCTTAGATTGCTAATGACTTGGTGCAAGCACACACACACACACACGTGTATGTGTGTGTGTGTGTGTGTGTGTGTGTGTGTGTAAAAGTTGGATAACATTTATCCAGATTCGTGGGACCAGAAGTGGTTCACATTTCAGATTTTGTAATATTTGCATATCTCAGGACTAGACTTGAAATTCGTTTGGCTTTTTAAATATTTTATTATTTTTATTTTATGTGTATGGACATATTGCCTGCATGTATGTAAGTACACTGGTGTCGCGCAGTGCTCGAGGAGGTCCAAAGATGGCATCTGATTCCCCTGAAACTGGAGTTACAGATGGTTGTCAGCCACTACATGGGTGCTGGGAATCAAACCCAGGTCCTCTGTAAGAGCAGCCAGTGCTCTTAACCACTGAGCCATCTCTCCAGCCCTTGAAATTAATTTGTAATCATGTATACCTTCCTCACATGGTCGGAAGATCATTTTTCTACAAATTACCAATTGCCTATGTTTTGAATGTGGTCAGTTTTCCACTCGTGACATTATATGGGCACTAGGGTTTCAGACTTGGGAGTATTTCAGAGCTTGAATTTGGGATTAGAGGTGCTTAACCTGTGTGTGAATGACATACATTCAGTCTGAAAGAAAATGAGGCACTGAAGTGTCTGTGTCTCTGGGCCCCCCCCCCACCACACCCCAACACACAAACATACACTGGGCTCCTGAGCAGCATGGCACAGTGAGGCATGCAAAGAGACGAAATACAAGGCCACTTGTGACTTCACCTAGCCACCAATTTAACCAGTTCAGACACTGGTCATTTCACAATGGGAATTCATATCACAGAACAAATGGGTCTTGTTTAATGTCCCAGTAGCTTTCCCACAGTTGTCATCTGTGAGGATATCACTTTGAAACCTCACCATACTGACTACTGTATGGAAGTGCCAGGAGTGGAGGCTGCTGTTGGCTCGGCTCGGGGCTTTGCCTCCTGCCCTGGATGGGGTAGTGACCACACTGACTCAGCCCACCCCCCACCTTTTTTTTTTTTTGAGACAAGGTCTCAGAAGCACCATCTGGCCTGGAACTCAGGCCAGGCTGACCCCAGAATCACAGATATCTGCCTGCCTCTGCCTCCAGAGTGCTGGGATTAAAGGCTTGTGCTACCTCGCCCAGCTCAAACCCTTTATTTTGTAAGTACTGCTATCTCCATAACAGACTTTTCTGAAATCCTGTCAGGCCTTGAGCAAAGCAGTCATCAGATTGCCACCAGCTTCTAGAAGGAGCACTGTTTCTACTCTTTATTAGTTACGAAAGAGGCAAACAAGGTTGAGTAGATTGACTGTTCAATGTCTCTTCCAGACTGGGACACTTGGGATAGAGACACAACATTCCACTAAGATGTAAGCCAGGACAACAAGCATACTCCAGAATCACTCCAGCCAAATTGGGGTGAAGTGTGTATGTGTGTGTCTGTGTGTGTGTGTGTGTGTGTGTGTGTGTGTACAAGAGCATGTGTGGGTTTTTTAACTTTTTAAAAAAATTTGATTTGTATGTGTATGCATGTATTGCCTGCATGTAGGTAAGTGCACCCGTGTCATGCAGTGCCTGCGGAGGTCACAAGAGGCTGTTGAATCCCCTGGGACTGGAGTTGCAGACAGTTGTTAGCTGCCATGTGGGTGCTGGGATTCAAATCCGGGTCTTCTGCAAGAACAACCAGTGTTCTTAACCATTGAGCCATCTCTCCAGCTGTACAGCATGTGTGTTTTTAAGGAATGGAGTCTGGCAGTCAGGAAACCAGGTTCTAATCCCCCATCCTGCCAGAACCAA